CGGCGTCTGTACCAATACTCAGTTGTCAGGTACTGAAACTCAATATATCACATTAAAACATATCGTCACTCTGTTTCCCATTTCACAACATTGTCTCACTGAGAGGCAGTTAAAGGATGTTTAATGCTCTATATACCTACACAAACATCCTGTGAACTGGGCTTATCTTTGACCTGTTATTGTTTTTACCCCTGATGACTGAAACAAGATCCAAAGTATTTCTACACATTCAGTTGTGCACATCTAAGTTCTAAGTTATTGATAACATTCGATCATAAATCCACAGCACGACACTTCTTATCTCTGAAGCAGAACACCTGGAGCTATTCTTCACATTTCTAAGCTTTGCATTAGAGCAAATAAGAGAGGAGACCTGAGTGAATTCAAAAACTACTAAAGGGGATCGATTAAACTACCCCAAATAAAAGCAGCATAATGGTGTCCAGCTGTACTGACAAGTTTGTTCATATGTGATTCCTTTAACCACTAATGTGATGCTTACATGGGGGACACAGTAAAAGAATAATACTTTTTTTCTTATTTTGATTTTTTAACAATAAGGTGATGACATCAGTCCTGCTTTCATTTCTGGCTGTTAAATGTGAAGCTATGATACAATAAGAAGCTTTTCCTTTGCTGAACTAACAGCAGCTTAATACTGAAGAGATGTGAGAGTCGATCTTTTCCTCTGACTCTGGGCAAGAGTGATTCCTTTAAGGGCTCAGAATGAACCTGTTGAGAGGAAAGTCAAAGCTGTGAAAGCATCAATAAATTACTGCTTGTGTTCGTACTGGGAAGCTGAAGCAGAAGGTGTGAATGTGAAACAGCTGACAGCTGCTTCAGACAATGTTCAGATTAAAAATAATACTGCAGTAATAAAACCAGTAGTTGTTAAAGCGGAATCAAATGTTTGACTGTCAGAAGCAGCAGAAGCCTCGTTCTTCTCATTTAGTGCTCAGGAACACGTCTGAGCAACGAGCAGCAGGATTTATACAGTTTTGCTCTGACAAGATTTGATGAGTTTCTTATCAGACGTGTTTATAGCAGGCTTAAAAAAGAAACTACACAATAATCTGTTCCCTCTGTCGTTTACCCTCCAGGCCAGTGAGATGCCAAAACTCACAGAACAACTGGCTGCACCGCTGAGACAAATGCAGGTGAGACGCCGTGAGACAGAAGCTGCATCTAGAAGTTAAATGTTTGGTGACAATATTAACGCTGCTGCTGTGTGTTCAGGAGTGTGCGAAGCGCATCGCTAAGGTGTCGGCGGACGCCAAGTTGGAGGTGGACGAGGAGACGTATCTAAACCAGTTCAAACCTCACCTGATGGATGTGATCTTCGCTTGGGCTAACGGGGCCACGTTCGCTCAGATCTGCAAGATGACGGACGTCTTTGAAGGTAGGTTATTGATTATTATTGATTATTGTTATCCAACAGACATGACAGAACCTTTCGTATGAACCCGACCACCTTTACTTGTTCCTCTGGGTCATTAGATCATTAAGGTTTTCAGAAGAAGCCCATAATGTGGCTGAAATTATACCAAAACATGTCCCAGAGGCACAGTGGTAGAAAGTACATTTAGGTGAATACTGTGTGATTTTGAGGTACAGTCGTGACTCGGTACGCCGACCCTTAACAATCTGAAAACCTTGCTATCCGACAGGTTTTTAGGAAAAACTAATGGAACCCATTAAAATAGCCTTAACATACTGATAGCCTTGGATTCAGACTCTGACGTGACATTTTATGTGACAAATAAGGATAGCGGCGTTTTATCTGACTTAACAATCCGACACATTGGCTACGTTCAGACTGCAGGACTTAATGCCCAATTCGGATTTTTTTGTGAAATCCGTTTTCTTTTTTTGTTTTTTTGTGAGTTCGTTCACATTTCCAATTAAATGCAGCTTGTATGTGATCTATTGTGTGAACTTCATACGACCCAAAAGTGTTCCGCATGCACAGAAGAGGACACGACAACATCACATGCAGCGAGCGTGCTTATTGTTCACGGAAGTAAACATGGATGGTAACGGTGGAGCGTATCTGCCACTCCCCCGCCACCACTGATGGTGGAAACAGAAGTGTGACCGCTAACTGAACTGGCATCAACAGCCAAGTACTGCCTGTGTGGTCCGGCCACTTCCACCCCGTCCAAGTGCTCCCCCAGGGTGGAAGTGTCTGATAAATAAGGGACTGATAAATAATAAACTGGTTATTCCCAAACGTTATGACATGTAGCCAGTTTCAGGAACATTGTGTGTATTTGGGACTCCTTGTTGTCAAGTCAGATGACTATTTGGACGCACAATTTAGTGGCAGTTTTTTTTCTTCTTCTTCTTCTTCTTTCATCTCTAAAGAATCATCTCGTGACCTTCCAGATTTGTCTGGACTGAAACTCAGAAATCCATAAAGTAGTTAAACCCAGCTCCACGTTAACCAGCTAACAATCTTATAATATCACTGCCTCTGTTTTGTTCTGTTGATTCACTGAACTTTCTCTACATGTTGCTGTAACTACGACAGCACTTTAACTTGTTCAGTATGTTGTAAAGAGTCTGAACAGTAATAATAATAATTGAAGCTATCGTGGCCATTTCACCTTTTGGTTTCTTCACTATCTCCCTTCATGCAGCCAGTTGGAGGTTCACAAACTGATTTACTGCGTGTGGTTCGATTCCCAGCCCGTCATTCTCCCAATAGTTTAGCTCTCTGAGTGCCAGCAGCTGTCCTCAGCTGTAAAACATTTGAAGTCACTGTAACAAGGAAGTAATTCTTGTTGGGAAACTCGACGGAGGTTCAGTGTGTGTTTTTGGCGACAGAGAGAGAAATTTCCAAAATAATTCTTGTTGCGCCAATTTGGAATTTGGTGATTACATCAGTTGAATACGATGTCTGTGTTTTCCTCATGAGACGGTCTTTACAGGAAACATCCTGCTGGGACAATTCTCCAGAAGATGACTTAGAGGGTTAAAGGACAAGTTCACAGCCGTGGAATCTGTCTTAAAGCAAACAATCAGGAGCTCGTTTGACCACTGGAATGGTTCTCATGTTGATGTTAGCCATTAAAATATTTAAATCTAATTGAATGGTTATCAGAAGCTGATGTGCCTGAGCCATTCTGACTGTGTTTTCAGCTTTGAACTCTGGATTTTCTGTGTCCGCTGTTGTTTATACTGAAAATGTTTCAGAAACTAAGGTTTTACTGGTCAGCATGAACAGGAGGAATCATTACCGATGGTAAAAGAAACTCCAAAACTTTCCTCTTATCCTTTAAGAAGTGAGCTGTAATCTTCTGTTGTGCTGAAAGACGGTGTGTGCATGTCTCAAATATTTAGGTCAGCAGCGAGATAAATGACTCTGTGAATGACTCTGGATTACAGCTGCCAGGATCATTTCAGTTCTGTCGGTTCTTCATTGGGCGCAGGAGACGTGTAAAGCCCGTATTAGTCAGATCATACGCCGTGAAAAATTCCTCCTCTGACAGGACGATCTGTTGTCTTAACACTTCATTGTAAAAAAAATTGGAAGAAAGAACTTCCTCCTCTGCCAAGAGCCTCAGACTTCATTAATAAGCACCTTTTTTTTTTTTTAAACATTTATTTTCTTTTAAATAATCGCAGATTTTAGAACATTATTGCAAATGCTTTTAAACATAAAATATTAGACTGAGTCTGGGAAATATATATAAAGTTGCTCCCTTTTCCCTTCTTATGATAAGGGTTTAAAATGTTACTGATTTAATTTAATAGGAAGGTTTTGCATCAATGTGTTTTTGGTCTTTCTAATTAATATTTCAATAAATAAGGTTTTTGAATTGTATTTTTAGGGGAACTATGAGTGTTGCGATTTCCCTCATGCATTGAGGTTTTCAGCTTGATTAAGTTTTGCGGTTTATCAATCTCAGCACATTGACTAATTTGGTATCTACGCTGTATGTTTCCTTTGCTTTGCATGTTGGTCATTCATTTGATGAACATGCCAAAAATCTTGGCAGAGTTGTAATCATAGACATCTTCTGTTTAAGGCCAAAAACATCCAAATACCTCCGAGATGTTTTGCCATCAAACTTTCAAAGTGAATTAATGCTGGATTAAATTCTGCTTTATTAATAATCTGTTTTATATAAAACACTTCAACGCTGTATTTTATGTCTTGTTTTTTTGTAGGGAGCATCATCCGCTGCATGCGCCGTCTGGAGGAGGTGCTGAGACAAATGTGCTCTGCAGCTAAAGCCATCGGCAACACGGAGCTGGAGAACAAATTCGCTGAAGGCAAGAAACATACTTCATAATGTAGTGTTATAGAAAATCAGTTGGTTATTTTTAAGGCAGAAGTCACAGCATCAAGCCTCACATAAATACAAGCAGCTGTTTTGTCTTCTTTGAAATAGACGTAAATCTTAAAAGGTATTACTGGCAGATATATGTAAATTAAATCCTACACATTATTCATTTATGATACCGAACATCAAGTCAGTTTTTTTGTTTTCTTGTTTTTTTAAGTGCAATTTATCCAAGTAACAGCAAAACCTCTTTGCTAAATGCTAAAGAAACTTTTAATGAATTGAATAAATGATGAATTTCCTTTGTGTCCCTGCAGGTATAACGAAGATCAAGAGAGACATCGTGTTTGCTGCCAGTCTCTACTTATAGTCGCCTTTAGCTTTGATCCTGATCCACTGATTTCTTAGTCTTTTGTTCTTTAACTGTCACACAGATGTCAAGCTGTGAGCTGTTTGTTCCCAAAACGTTCATTTGGCTTTTAGGTGGAAAATTGTTCTGATCATCACAACATCTTACCTTAACATTAGCGTCCTGCTGACTCGTGTTTCCACTCGTGATGAATGCATCTATGCGGCCAGGACACATTCAACATTCATGCTTTTATTTTGCTTTTTGCTTACATGAGCAAAACGATGCATAATGACAAACTGATAAATCCGACATGCTTCAATTTTATCTGACGACTCTGGACATAATACATCACACTTAGGTTTCATTGATGTTATGGTTATTAAGTAAAATGGCTTTATTTTTCCTTATTTTAAACATTTGTACATATTTGTAACATTTTTTTTTCAATAAAAGTCTGTATGGTGATTTGTTTACATACAGATTATATAAAAGCACGTTGTCTGTTCACTTAATGTTTACATTTGATACACAGGGAGCTGTGATAGCAGCAGCAGCAGCAGTCCAGCAAAGGCAACGCGGGACTTAAAGGCATAGTTTGGATTATTTGAAGTGTTGGAGGTTTGTAGCCACAGTTTATTGCCTAAAGTAGATAGTAGATGGTTCTACTTCAGTCTGAAGAAGCAGACAAGTGTCCCTGCACAGAAGCTCAGCAATGTGCTGCTGAAGACGGTCAGAAAAATGTCTGTTTACGTGTATGCCATATTTGGAATACTTTCCCTGCTGTCATGAGGAACTTGTAGTTTTTGTGGTGGTTTTGCTGTGTTTGAACACATTAGTTCAGATCAGAACTAAAATTCCTGTTTTCGTCAATGGAGTCTGGTGCTTTGATCCCTTCGGTGTAAACCTCAGGTAAATTGTTAACTTAGAGTGATAGAACTCTGTTTCCTGTCTGACAGCAAAGTGAAGCATGGAAATTCTCCAAATATAACCACCTTAAACTAATATTCACATTTTTTAGGTGGCTGCAATATATTCTGATGACCCCGTACTCAGCTGTACACTTCTTAGCTTCTGCACTGGTCCTCCTGTGGGCTTCTCCAAACTAGGAGCAAGCTGACAACCATCCAGTAGGTAAGACACTGACCATGGATATGCACCTGAACTCTACTTCAAAGAACCCAAACTGTCCCTTCAAACTGACAGTCTACCCTGCAACACTCTGACCAAACATGCTACAAGTCAAACATTTTGATTGTAATATTCGGTGAGACAGCTGGAGAGTGAGACTGTAGTTTCCTGGAGTCAGCTGCTGTAGATGAGCAGCACTGCTGTCCTCTGGTCCAGGATCAGCTTTAGCCTCCAGCACAGTGTAGCCTTAAGAAACAAACACTCCTCTTTTGATTAGCCCTTTTATTAACACTGGACCTAAGGCAGCAAAGTCTCAGATTTCTCTTTCTGGGTGCTGGAGATAAAACTGACCCTAAATCAGATCCTCCAGGTGAGGAAAAGCACTAAGCAGGATACATTCACAGGTTTCCAACCCTCCTCTCTCCCAGCAGTGGTCAGACCCTTTAGTGGGTGCATGCAGGCAAGTCTTCCCACCAGCTCAGTAGATCGATACATGCTAAATGGTTCCCGTCCGCTCAGAATCTCTAGCCTCTAACCTACGTCTGCTTCAGTCACTTCAGCGTATCTACAGGGGGTCGGCAGGGCGTCGCACCACTTTCCCTCCAGGCAGAGAACTGGTGGACAAGACAGCAAAAATTACAAAGTCTTACAATTAGGCCTGGTGTGGTTCCAAGAGTTTCTTCTGGGATGCTCAGACATCCAACAGTTTACTCGACATATAATCAAGTACTTCATACTGTAAATCCATGCAGGGTATCGGGTGAGAATTTGCGTGAGATGAAAGGCTAGAGAGCTGGGATCCTGGTGTGCGTTTGGACTGAGCAGAGGTCTCCGCCGCTGCTCGCTTAGCTTAGTTGGGACTCTCAAAGTGGTTTCCATTCGTTGGCGTCTCCTGCAGGGTTGTGTGGGGGATGTCTTCCTCTTTACGGGAATTCGCACGAGGCTTGAAAAAGTCGGACACGAAGAAGACCTGCAGGACAGAATTGAAAATCTGTAAATGAAACTGGGGCTTAACTGTCGGGAACAGTGAAAGGATTAGCTGTGCCCTCTTTTCAAAAGTTAAAAAAAAAGTCAATTTTCTCATCACACTCCCAGAAAGACATGAAATAAGCAAATATCACAAAATGTCAAGTCACTGCTTCCACTGTAAACTCAGATGAGCACATCACTCACCACCAGTATAGCCATGAGGGCACCCTGCAGGAGTCCAGTCAGCACATCGCTCCAGTGATGTTTATAATCGGACACTCTGGACAATCCCGTGAACACCGAGGCAGCAATCAGGAAAAACTGGATGGTTGGTCTGAGGAGTCGCGCCCATTCAGCCTGGAGCCGAGCCTGCAGGTAGAGCTGGGGAAAGGGGAAGAGCTTTTACAATCCAGAGCAGCTGGTCATAATAAACACCAGCCTGTCACTGTCAACCTGTAGTAAGTGTTAGTGTAGTGGGAAGCATTCCTGACACAGCGGTAGGAAAATGAGCTGCACATGACTCAGCACATTTCCACAACACAAGACTAGATCATCAAGAAGGAAAACTGAGGCGCTGCTGTTCACATTTCACCGTCAAACTGACCTTGACCATCCCAAGCAGAATTCATAACTTAAGAAGATGAAGATTTTATGACTTTATGACACAATTAAACACAGCTGACCAGACAAACTTCATTTGCTCGGATTACAAACAGGGCGTGTCCGTTCTTTCCGTTTGCATCAAGGACAAAACGGACGAGCCTAACCGCTTTATCTGGATCTGCGTTTCATATCTTCCTGTACCCCTTTATTTGTGACGCAAATACTGTCGTTTAAAGGGCGTCGGTTTCTCATACTCCCACTTCCAGCGCACTCGGGGGAGAAGAGCTTCCCGCTGGTGCCAGGACTTTGTCCCCGAGTCTATTTTTATCTGCTGCTTGTTGAATGAATCAGCAGCCTCTGAAGTTTATCAAGGATGGACAGTAAAATGGAAAAACTCTGAACAAACAACACTTGGCTGCTGATAAGTGTCACTAGATCATCAAAAGGTGCACAATCTGGAAAGAGGGAGGAAATAGTTTGACATTTTAGGAAGATCATGATCTAATGTTTGCCTGAAGCTACAGCCAGTTAGCTTAGCATAAAGACAAGAGGAAACTGCTAGTCTTCATGTAAGGACATCCACATATTGTTGTTTCTAGACTTTGATCTTTGCACAGCATTTATGGGAGTTTTGTGTCGCTCAGACAGAGAAGCCATCTACCCTGTTCTCTCTGTCAGCCAAAATACAGCTAATGAAGATCGATAACGAGCTCGTATCAGCCCATTAAATTAGGGACCGCAACCAAGAGTCCATTAGGCGGGGCTCGCACTGCAATTTTAACATCCCGACTGATTTTAAAAACGAGGAGAACGTTCACACATATTCGTCTTTCTAAGCTCAGAGCTGCACACACTACAAGAAAACAATCACACACTGCAGGATATTGTTAGGATTATGGTGTCGGAGGGAGCAGTGCACCACCTCGTGATCTCATGGGGACGCAGATGTAAAACAAAAATAGAGACGAGTGCAAGAATTTTGCTTTCACAGTATTAAAACTGAGAACAAAAGCAGAAGGTTATACGAGCCTGGATGAGGAAGGGGTCAGGAAGATGCAGCCAGCACGGTTTGTTCATTTGGTTATAAGGTACGACTTTATCTATGTGGAGCTTATGTTGGCCTCGAGGGTGAGAATATTCAGCAGAGCTTGGCAATAACGCCTGCTGCTCCAAGCAGTAATGTGATGATTATAACCATCCAGATCACAACCGGTAATTATGAAACATGCTCGATATCAGTTTGGCAGGTTTCACACTGGATCTGGAACAAGCAGATTGTCTTTGCCTAACGATGACAAAACTGCTCCACCTGCACTTCTACAGGACAGTGTCTCGTTTCCAGTCTTTCTGCTGAGTGTGTCTGACTGACTGGTGGCTGTAGCTGCATATTGACTGGTTTGGGCCTGTAAAAACAAAAAGCTTCTTCCTCCTGTAAAGGTGAAGTCACTGCTGGAAATATTCCACCATCCAACTTCCATTAAAAGCACAAACTGATGATTTTACGTTTAGCTTTGTCTTTAATGGATGCTTTGGACAGAGTCGAGCTAGCTTCGTCTACAGTTTTTGATGCTAAGCTAACTGCCTGCTATCTGCTTTGACGGACAGATATGAGGGTGGCATCGATCTTCTCTTCTAACTCTTGCCTGTGAGGCAAATCTAACATATAAAACTGCTCCTCTAAAGCTGGACTGACATTTAAATGAATGTCCAGTCAAGGTTACACAGCTACATTTCTCTGTATTGATGGTAGTTTTAAATCTGGTTTCTGTGGCGACAATGCTGCACTGGTAGCGATGTGTTTTATGTTAACCAGTGATGACTGGTGTGCCAGGAGTGAAGAGGGGAGCAGGTGGTGCGATGGAGACGAAGTAAACTACAGCAACTAAGACTATGGTGGAGTTTATTGTGGGAAAAACCAGGGACGTATCCAAGACAAGGTTGTGATGCTCCGGTTAAAATAAGCATCAGAGGACTGATTACAGTCAAGGCCTCGGTCATAAGCAGGCAGTGACAGTGTTTGTGCAATGACTCACTGGTAGACAACAGCTCAGCGCTGCAGGTTTAAGCCGAGGCGATAAATATCAGTAAATCAGCATAGACGCATTTCTTTAATGTTCAAGATCTTGGATGAATGCCAGGTTGTGTAAAATGCCGTTGAACACTTTGTTCCAGTAGATATGATGGCAGATCAATATTTAACTGGTACTTACAGCGAGGAACAACATGCAGTACATGGAAAAGGACGAGTGGCCAGAATAGAAGGACAACCTGCAACACAGAGACAAAAGCATGAATCAACACTGTGGCTTCATCAAACCTGCATCAGTCTAAAATAGCTGCAGTCACTGGAGCGTCCAGTTGTATTAATACGGGCGGTATTATTAGCATCAGTGTCAGTGGTCAGTCCTGGCTCGCTCTGCTGTTACAGTGTTTGTTGCTGTGTGTTTTGGAGACTCCTGAGAAGGATGATGATGGTGGACAGCAGCCCCTCCTCCCCCCACAGCCCCCTGGACTAGTTCCTGTTTATAAAAACGGCGCTGTGGTTTTATACCACGTCGGCAGCAGCAGCTACACACACACACAGTGTAATATTACGGGACACTGGGTAATTTCATGTGCGTTCCTGTCTGACACTTGAAGCGTTGGGCTGCTCTGCTGGTGAGTCTTTGCAGCAGTTTGGACCAACAGCTCGATCTAAGACGCAGCTTATCTGGATACATTTGCAGGTAAATACCAGAAAGATGCGTCTCCTGCCAAGTTACACACAGCAAACCGACTGAACAAACCTGACCCACTGCAGCCGCATACAGAGGTTCTGTCATTGGTTCGGAGTATTTTTAATCCACATAAGCAGCGCGGCTCTGGAAATGTGGTCCAAACTGAAACACCAGTGGATGGATCACAATGAAGCTTTACAACAACATTCATGGTAGCCAGAGGATAGATCACCATCTGATGGGTTTTCTAACACTAAAACACGATGGTGGTAAACAATCTAAATGCTTGTATGTTAGAATTATGACTGTGAGCATGTCGAGGTATCATTTAGAGGACGACTTCTGTCTATTCCAACCTGCTGTATCTCCCATTAATGTGTGTCTAAGGGTCAGGCTAACTACCTCTGTTGTAGAGATTCGTGGAAACAATGAGTCGCACAAAACAGCAAATATTAAAGGTTACTAGTGTGAGTGTTTAGTGTAAAGTCTGATCAATAGTAAACACAAAAGCTAGTCATCCAGAACAACCATTGGCTAACAACAACAGAGATGCAATGATTAATTGATTGGTTATTTGATAATAACAAACTACTTTGATAACTGATTAGTTTTTGTAACTGAAAAAAAAGGTCTAAATTCTTCAGTTCCAGCTTCTTTAATTCAAATATACTCTGGATTCTTTCTTGAATATATATTTGGGTAGTGGAAACTTTAAAACAATATCAGTGATGTCATGTTGGGCTAAAGTAATTGACTAATTGAGAAAATAATAAACAGATTAATTGGCAATAAAAATGACTGCTAGTTGCAGCTTTAATCTCAAATAAGGATTACTTCCTGGCTATATGCTTTGCCAATAAACATTGTTTTGTGCAACTTATTGTTGGTCACTGATGGTGCAGAATACAAAGTTGGCCTGATACATAGAACCACATTATTGGGAAATGCGTCAGGTTGACATAAGCCTGAATTTTCCTTAAAGTTTAATGTAATAATTTTGCCCCTTAGAACATGAAAGACAAATTTAAGGATGAAAGTGCTTCTGAAAATATAATGCATCCATCAGTGTTTTATCTAATTGTTCTCAACAGACTCGTCTTATTAATTAACAGTCCAAAATGTCACATAGTCAAAGTGTAGTAATCTGGGAGACATCTTGAAGTTGCTGGTTTTCTCCAGCCAACAGTCCAAGACCCAAAGATACTGAATCTACAAGATAAAAAGAGAAAATGCCTCAAACTGAAAAGCTCAAATGCGTGTATGTTTTTGAAAGTAACTGATAAATGACACGATCATCATCATCACCATTACAGGTAATCTATTAATTAGCTAATCCCAGCACCAACACTGACACTTAACACAGGCCTCTGTAACAAGACCCAGCTGGCGAATGCAATAATAATGCTGACCTCTATGCATTCACGGTGCAGCACATTAAAACTGCAGGATCCTGCTCTACTCTGTCTACTTCAATCCTGTTCATCAGGAATAGGACTAAAGTTTCTCATCTCACAAATTAATATTTTCACCATGTGCTCATTTAAACAAACACTGACGGTAGACGTCGTCTGTCAGGAGGGAAGTTAACCTGAGGTGAGACGGAATCAAATTACTGTAAGATGATCTTGAACAGACCACACCGTCCTGCTCTCCTGCTGCGCTCATTAGAGTCCAGCAGACATCCCAAACACACACGGCAGCTGGAAATATAATGTGTCCTGACGTTAATCTTAAAAGCCCTGGATATCTGCCGAGCATCACCGGATCCTTCTCTTGGCTGGATGATGAATGTTTGCAGCCTTATGCTCCATTAAAAAAAAAAAAAAATAAGCAGACTGCAGAGTAGTAACAGGGCTCCAGGAAGCCATAGAGCACCACACCCCGGTAAATACGGAGCAGATAACCCAGAGGAGGGCGAGAGGTGGGTGGGCACGTTTAGTCTCGGCTCTCAGGCTCAAAGGCTGCAGCTCAGGATAAATGTCAGGGACAGGAAACCTGCACGTATTAAAGTTAGGCAGAATGAAAGAATAGAAAGCTCCGTGCAGCCTATAATAACCAAAGTGATCCTCTGTGGTTGTGCTTGCATCAGAATGAGCGGAGGATATCCTCTCCTCCCTCTACTCTTCCTTCTGCTCGGAGCTGATAAGAGACGGAGACTTTAATGAAAACAAGCTTCACATTCTTGCGTTGTGACTCAGCGTAAGAGACGCACAACTGCCTCACACTGCACCTCAGTGAACACACGACCACATGTCATTACATTACATGTCTTTACTACTGATAAACACTAAATCTTTCACAACGAACTTTTTGTCATTAATGTTTTCAGCTTTAACATTTGGAAAGTCTAACAGCTCTTAAACCCTCCAGTACACAAAATATGGCAGGTTTAAAGCAACGGCTACAAAAAAAATTCCAAAATTACACAATTTACACAGCTGGAAAGTGTAAGAACAGAAAGAACTGACAAATGTTCAACTTTCCCACATTCACTGAACTACTCATCAGTGACTTAAGTTCCACTGGGAAGCAAACCTAAGCTTCAAAATTGTGATATTTCATCAAAACGGCATGACTCTACATGTCTCATTTAGAAATTCTGTGCTTCTCTGCACAAGTGAAGAGCTGTTAGTGACTCAGCTGCAAACAACAGTCATGTGTTGGCAGCTCTACGGGCTGTGTGGAGCAGATGTAAGTAGTAAAAAACCTATTCTATGTAGAGTCACCATGTTTTTCCCCAGTATTTGTAACACCTGTGGGTGTTGTACATGCTTGTTCCAGTTTTTCCTCTTCGTTTTGATAAAATAAACAAAAAAAAATCTACCTAGTTTTTTTCTTTTTATATTATTTATGGTATTGTAACTTTGTCATATTGCTCATAGGACCTTTCTGAGTTCTCTCTACTTCCAGTCATGGTTGTGCTGTTTCCTTAGAGGTGTTCGTCTTTCTAGTGCAGTGAAAATGTGACGGGAACAAAAACAGAAACTGCTTGGAGCTCAGAGAATTCTGAATCATGATCGTCTCGTGACTGTGAAAACACTTATTTATGTGGAACAGCAAACAACACAATGCTAACTGATTTAATAGTGGAAAAAACCAAACACATCAACCCTGGAAGTCTGGAATAAATGCTCATAAATGTTTGTTATCTATGAAACTCAATGTAACGTGTTTATCTCTTACAAGAGATGTCGAAAACTGGAAGAGACACTGCTCTGTTTGCTTTATCATCCTTCGCTGTTCTTACAGATTGTAGATGCATTTTTTTCCCAGGTGTAATCTTGAGAGCTGTAATAAAACCCTCAACAGCTGCTGGATCAAATGGAAAAAGAGCAATTGCACAATTAATGCCGTTTAATGACACATTTAACCTTTGCTCTTTGTGTTTACACCATCAGCATGTTACAAAACAACGGAGACCCAGATTTCAGTAATCGCTTAAACAGCAAAACAAGAACCTGGAGAGCCGCAAGTTTAATTGAGGACATTTGAAATCATGAACAAATTCAAGGTGAAGTCATCCAGGGATGCACGAAAGCACTCTCATCTAATTGAGTGATTTATTTTGAGGTTTCATTTAACAAACAGCCCAAAAAGCCACAAATCTTCAAATTTGAGAGGCTGGAACTGATACAATTCTGGCATTTTGTTTGATTATGGCACTTCATTTTCTGTCCATCAGCCAATCAATTCATCGCTGCAGTTCTACTTAATCAGAGTTCTTCAAAACAAAGAGGGTTTTGAGCAGCACCTACCTGCCCTCATTGACCATCGTTGCGTCTCCCTGGCAGGTGAACGATTCGATGTACGCCCCCGACGAGCAGTTGACGAGCTTCCAGTCGGGTTTGCACACATCCAGGAAGTGCGGCCTGAGGCGGCCGATGGAGTACTTGGCGATGTCCGTCAGAGACTGGCTCATGGCGGCGCCGAAGAGGAAGGTGCCGACAGCTTTGTAAACACAGGCAACGTAGCTGCCGAACGACGACTTGGATTTGAGGCGGTTTAGGTAAACTAAAAGGCACTCGCCAAAGATCATCTGCGGGAGGGGAGGAAGGGACACGGAGTTAGAGGTTTGTACAGAAAATATGAGACGTCAGATTCAAATTGAAGATGCAGCTGAATGAACAACTCCAGAGCCAGAAATATTTCCTAAATCCAACATCACTCACTGGGTTGGAAATAAGAATACATTTTGTTTGGGCCAATTTCATACAAGGTTCTTGTCTGTGTTGCAACCAAACTGTGTTTAAAGCGATAGTTGGGCTTTTTAGGATATGTGATTATTCACTTTCCACATTACAATTAGATAAGCTGTTCTTCTCTCTTTACATGTATTAAACTACAACCAGCACACAGCTTAGCTTAGCATGAAGACTGGAAACAGGGAAACAGCTAGCCTGGCTCTGTCTCTCTGCTACAGACTAACTTCTTACATCATTTGCACTGGCACATCGAACTGTGCACCCAAAACGTTCACCCACATTTTGCTGCTGAGGATAAGGTGATGGGTGGCACAGTGTGACTGATAGGCATGGAAACACTGATGCAGTTAGAGAGGGAACATGTATCCCAGGTTGTTTCTTGAAGCTACAAGTTACTGATTGTTCTAAAACACCTCATGTGATTCGACAGAGGCTACAGTTCAAAGAATTTCATTAAACGCCTCACGTGCTGCGAGAGGTCTGAGCACAGAGAAGCCTCTAGTCTCCTCTTAGGTTCAGAGATGCAAACAAGTTTTAGTCACAGCTCTGTGACTCAAAATGAGTCTGAAAAGAGTGAAATAAGGTGTCTTATGTCCAAGTTACTCAAGCTGCAGGTGGTCAGCTATAGACAAAACTGCTAAAGGAGAACCAGTGCAAGTAATGACATTTTTAAGTTGCACTTCACAGATCTATGGTCTATGGAATTACAGGAACTACTGAACAATAAAGTTGGATTTTGATAAATTCAGACAGAGCCAGGCTGACCCTTTGTTTCCAGTCTTAATGCTAAGCTAAGCTAATCCTCTGGTGTAGCTTCTTATGTAATGAGTTCAAGTAGAGTGATATCAATATTTCAAAGTATTTTTCTGCAAAATGTTAGCTCTGAGTTCTCATTTATGTCACAGTTCTGAGACAATCAGGGCCACAAGAGGATGTCCACTTAGTATAGGAAACAATCCTAAGTTAGGTTGATCTAGAAGTCTGAATTAAAGCCAGCTTCCTAATAATCTTATAAGTGAGGTGTTTGTATGTTTGAGCTTGAGTGACTAACAGCTAACTCCTGTTGTGGTTTAGCGTACTTTGCAACATTGCAACAGGCCGAGGTGGTTTAAAGTCTTCTGTTGATGGATTCATACTAATGCTGACCTGATACTGGAGATTTAAAAGGTGTCACTAGAAGAACTGAACTTCTGACTGTTGATGGGTCAACAAGGATAAAAAGGGACAGCTGCTTTATTTCTATTTACTGCAGTTAAAGATGTTGTGTGAAATGAGTTCTTCACTTATTAGGATAAAACCTACTCTATAGAGGCTTTAAAAATAAAACTACTGTTTATTTTGGTAGATTCAGCAGCTGCTGATCTAAGATAACTACTGGACTCTTTGTGAAGAGTTTCACGTTTGTCATGTTCTTTTTTGTAGCTGGAGATTTGCTTAGGGATGGTAAGTTTCAAAATAAAAGTCTGCCTCAGCTTCAAATGTTAGAGCTTTGAAAGCTTTTTTTCAAACCATGCTGCTAACAAGCTGGTTAATGGTGGCTGCGGACAAAACAACATGCACACAATAGTGCAAAAACACTGCATTTAGGAGGAAGGATTTAGGAGGAAGGTGTGTAAGTAGATGAAGGTAGACACCAATTACAAAAAGCAGGAAGAAAAAAAAGAAAAACAGAAGGGAACCGTTACAAAACAAAGCAGGTACACTTACAGTGAGGACAGTGACGGGAATCATAACACCTCCTAATAACTGATAGGAAATGGTGTCCTCTTTATAGGGGTACTTGATCGTATCATCATTACAGAAAAAGCCCCGGCGGAAAGGCCTGTGCTGTGCAGTGAGTATTGCAAATGGGAGTCCAGCTAGCAGAGAAGCAATGAGAGAGAAAAGAATACAGGTTACTAGATGCCGGTAGGACGTCTACCCATGATGCAACAGTGTGTGCCCGTGCAAAGCAGGAGGCAGCGGCCAGGTGAGAGAGTCTCTGCAGCCGGGCGGCGGCGTCCTCGCCAGCTTTCAGAAAACGCTGTTAATGGTTAAAGTGTTGGCATGGCAACAGAGAGTTAGACGCCGATCAGAAGTGGATGTTAATGGAGTAAAGTCCCACACCTTAGAGCACACAAAAACAACATTTATGAGCAGGTTAGTGAGCGACTGGCAAGCGCGTCTCCGTGACTTTCTCTTTAGAACTGTCCGGTGCAGTAAGGATTGGGTTTCCAGATGGGCTTCTGTGACATGAAAAGCTCTGGTTACACTTTCTCTAAAGTTACTCATTGTTACTTTAATATCTCTCTTTATGGCAAAGGTTTCTCTTCCTCAAAAGTTCCAGCTTCAAGTTACCACATATTCTCCCACTTCCTATAAACGCACACTGAACTACGAAGTGGGTCATAAAAGGAAAAAATTACTACAACAACGTTACACAAAAGCTCTTGAGGTTATGACTACTCGTGATACATAAAAGACACAAGAGATAAATCACTGATAACATAAAAGTAACACAAGGCAGACACACACACACACACACTCGTACATCCTGCCTCCGTTATTCTCCAAAAGCACTCGCTCTGATCCAAAGAGCGTTCCAGCTATTTTAAGGCCTCGAGGACGCAGCCTTCATGTCTGTTGCACTGATTAACAACAGTAATAAAACGTTCACCCAACAGATAATTCAATGAAAAGCCAAAAAAATTAAATTAAAGATTAAATGCCTGGCCTTACTCTGTAGTATCTAGATTTAGACTAATCGATTAATTTGTGGTTTGGGTCTTTTATACTAGATTGTCTGTTCCTCTGGAGTTGAGAGCTCCTCACAGAACAGATGTAAAGAAAACTAAACACTGACTTACGTTGGTAAAAGAAACACTCAAGGACTTTTTTGGGGGTGTTTGCGTGCAAAATGGATTCAAAGTTTTCTCTGAGGTTGATGTATTTTAAATCTGCTGTGTTTAAGTGGACATCCTCTTTAGCCTGTACGAGTAGCAGAACTTCATATCACAGCTGTGCCGTGGCTGTAGCACCAAACACAGAACTTTATCTAGAAGATATCCTACATGAAGCTCTGGATGTTCATTCTCTGATGTGCTGCTCTATCACACACCTTTGTCACCACAGATATGTTGACTTGCCACAGCAGCAAAACGACCCAGTGACTATAACATCTGCTTTCCATGTAGGTGTGGCAGTGAACTACTTTACGTCACTCTGTGAACTAGAGGTGAGGCCACGGCACACCTTTACCCACATGCTTGCCCATGTGCTCAACAATTCAACATATTTGTGGTGAAACAGGTTGTGTGTGAGCCGAACCTGCCTGGAGCGACTCCTACTTACGCAGCTAATGGGCAGGGTGAAGCCCACAGTGTAGAGCACCGTGGAGGTGACTGTGCTGTGGTGGAAAGGATACCTGATGCTGTCATCGTTACAGAAAAAGCCCCTCTGGTAGGGGCGGATCTTACCCAGGTTAAAGGCTGCCAGGGGCAGACCTCCTGTGGAGGGAGAGATTAGCAGGAATTATCACAGAGGAGAGAGTGAAGGTGCTGAAACAAAGTGTGGAGGCCTTCAGGAGGAAGACAAGTTCTCAAGTTAGAGGACAATTGTGTTCATCAGCATCCATACAAACTCCACAAATGCAAAACAAACATTAAGGGTTTAAAATCCTACTTACAGAAATGAAATGTTCAAGCACAACAGCGTCCTAATTTATTCTGTGTTTACCTGCTGTCATCAAATTTCATGAAAAGAGCAAAACCAACAATGTATTCATCTTCAAAAGCCGCTCACTTCATTATTAGAACAGTAAACTATTTGTCACCAGCAACTAGACGCTGTATTTTTAGCACATGTTCCTCCTCTCCAACAAAGGCATAGCTCAAGGCTACAGCAGCAACTGAAATATTATCGAAATTGCAACATGAATGAGAGCAACGTCGAAATCTTTGAATCGAGGCCAAATGTGTCACAGGATACCGTCTTAATGAATCACTATGGCGCTACAGAGATGACCTCGACCTATAAATAACACTCAGAACACGCAGAAAAAAGGGAACTTGCTTGTTCGCTACTGATGGCAGCAAAATCACGTGCTTTGTTTTAAATGTTTTGAGTATTGCTACTGAAAACTGCCATTACTATCACAATATCTATCAGGATTTTTTTTGTTTGGTTTTGTTGCGTTGTTTTTTTGTTGGGGACTATTTTCAGCTGCAGATTATTTCACAATAAGTGCATTAGTGATTATATATGACAGCAGGATGATGTGTGTGCGACTGCTTTAAATGGATTAAAGTACCTGTTTGTGTTAATAAAAGGAACGCCTCAGGCAACGGGGCTCCCTCGAGTGTTTCGGCAGTTTTCGGACAACAACGTAAACTGAATCAGGCTTTGGCAAAACAAGAAACACTTGTTAGTTGGATGGTTTAATTGTTGGTCGCTCTTTTCATGAGATTAGATAAGAAAAACATCCTTCAAGCTGGAGCCTCAAAAATGTGCATTACTGAGCTCAGCCAGATTCTCTACAACATGATGTTTGAAAGAGCAGAAACACCAGTGACTTAATGTCACCAAATGCCTGCCTGGAGTCATCCTGGTGTGAGGGGAGCTGTGGACTTAGCTAAGCACTCCCTACAGATAAAATACCATAAAGATAACAGATTATGCTAATTGGTTGTGACAGTCCAAAGTCTGGATGTAATGCCGCTGTCGTTTCTCTGACTGTTTGGCCGGTTTAGCCCATTGTAGAGCGAAGAGAAAAGACGCAGTCAGTCATCCATTCGAGCAGAAAGTGGAGCTCTGCTATTGATGCACATTGACAAGCCACAAATGGAAGAACACGCACAAACAGGGAACACGGCACGCTGATAAACCACCATCCAGTGAGCTGCTCCTTAGCCGTGTCTGGTATTTTGTGTTCAGTGTGCCGTTTCTGCAGCTGCCGCCGCCCTCAGCTGATGGGCTCCAGCAGCTGGAGACGCCACTCAGACCAGCAGCGGGACAATTCCTCACCGCAGCAAGCAGCCGCGTTACACTTTAACTTGTTGCCATTGACACAACAAGGAGCTTCCCAACACAAACACAAAGACTGAGAGTCAACGCCGGTTCTCTTCCTGCTGCAGTAAACATGCTATTAACCAGATAACATAACGCAAAACAGGACGAATGCTGTGTAGTTGAACAAATCTTGCATTCTTATGAAGTGGACCCTGCTTCATGCATTGCTGGCATTGAGGCATGACTGCTGGTACGTCTGCAGACAGACTCTGACAGATGCCTGCTGGTAGTAATTCAAAAACTATTAGTCTGCTTCATTCAGAAGGACAAACCCAAACAGGACACTGTACAGCCATACTCCCTGTAAACAAATCTCTTACGAAATTACAGTTATGCAATGTAGCACCAACCCGTAGCCCTGGGTGGTCAATAATATTTAAAGGGGAAATTAGCCTCTTCTCAAAAGCTTGTTTTTGGCTCATCGTTGGTGGACGGTTGAGGTTCATTGTGCTGTCAAACACTAAAAGGCTGCTCAGCTTCCTCTCAGTTTGACCGACTACTACGAAGGCCAATAAAACCAAACAACTGACAATCGTTTGGGATTTTTCAATGAGTCAGAAGCAGCAGTTGTTAGTTTGCTCCACTGAATACAGTCACCTTTGTGGGAAGAAAGCAGATCATTAATCCAAACTCAACTGCAACCAACAATCATTGCCATTGTTTATTATTCCATCCATTACTTTCTCAAACAACCGATTTGTTGTTTGACCTCTAAAATGTCAGAAAATGGTGAAAAATGACAGATCTCGGGGCCCAAAGTGACTTAAATGTTTTGTTTTGTCCACAAACCCAAAGATACTCAGTTGACCGCCACGTAAAGAAGCTAGAATCAGACTTTTTTTCTTTAAAAAATTACTCAAACTGATATTTGACTATCTAAATAACACAACAATCAGCAGCTAAGTGATTAATCATTGCAGCTCTGGGCAGATGCTGCAGGACTGTGTGAGGAAACCATGAGTCATGGCAGAAATCAATCATTCCTAATCAAGTCTAAGACACAAAAAAGCCCCTGAGACAACCCCGGTGCCTACAGAGTGAATCAGAACAGCCCTGCCAGCTCTTCTATGCAAATATAAGGCTTGCTGAGAAAACTGCAGCGAGCTGAAACACTTAGAAACTCTGCCTATGACTGTACAGGACAGCTTCAGACCTGCTTTATGGCTGCTTCAGATCTTCCGAGGGGGCATGTGTGGCTACATGTGCCAGGAAACTAACAGAGGCAGCAAGTGTTGTGGTTAGAAAGTGTTTCTCTTCTTCAATTGTATGGTTTAAATCGGTTAATAAGACAAGCATGTGGCCTGCATAGACTACAATCATGCCCATGTGAGGGAATGGCACAACATGTAAAACAATCAATAATACAATATTAAAGGCAAGGATTGGTATTGATACCCTGCATCTGATGATTGGTTTTAACAAAATAAAAGCATCACATACATGAACCAGCATTAAGAGGTTAATTAAAGTGAAGCTCTCCCTCCACTCCCTTCACGTGATGGCAAACTGCTCAATATCCCAACACTGGATTATATCGGCTCACAAATCCGCTTATCACAGAAAAAAAAAAACAGTCCACAGCATTAAAAAAAAAACAAAAATAAAATGCGTTTAAAGACATACCCAGAACCAGACAGACTACATCGAGCAGCACAAAGGGGATCCCTCTGGTCTCAAACATGTTGCCTCTCGTCCGTCTCGGTGTCGAGTCTCTGTCTGCTGCTGCTGCTGCTGCTCGGTAATAAAACAGCAGCGGGACGATGCTCCTCCTCGGGACGTCGCTGCTGCTGCTGCTGCTGCTTCCTCCGCTTCAACAAAACAAACCCAGCAGCAGCAGAAGGTTTCAAAAAAAAAAAAAAAAAAAGGCTCAGTAAACGCCCAAGTCAGAAACAAATAGATGAGCGTCCGGTCCGCAGCAGCAGCTCATATCAGGAGCAGAAACCCGCCTTGTACTGCTTGTTGTTGTTGTTGTTGTTGTTGGCCTACAGCCGCTCCGGAGACTCACATCACCAAGAAAACGCTTCAAGAGGAATTTGCATCGAACCAACAGCCGCCGTGACGGAGGCCCGGTCTGCTGGACGGACACCTGCCGCCGTTTATAGCCCCTGAAACACGAGCCGACGTCGGAGCCGAAGAGTCCCGAAGCTGACCGCAGCGGCAGGCCCCGGTGCTGCGTTCAGGGCCCAGCCGTAATGTCGGAAATACGACGCAGTTCGTGGCGCGTTTACAGCACCAGTGGGCAGAGTGGGGGCAAACACACAAATATGAAAAATACCCCATCGATGATTATAGTCGTCCTCAAATGTAATCATACCCTCCCATTAAAGAAGGAAGAAAACAGCTGTCACTGAAATAAGTTGAAATTGACAAACGTGATTAATGAAAATCATGACATTCCTTTTGAATTGTGGTTCAACAAATATATTTTAAAAAAACAAACACACACACACACACACACACACACACACACACACAAGAAAGCAAGCATGATGGGACGTAAACTAACATTTTCTTGAACAACCCTTTGAGCCAATCACTGCAATCAAGTATTTCTGTAACTCTCCATCAGACTTCTGCACCTGTTGACCTCCTGACCAGATCCTTGCTTGTGTTGTATCTGCTCTCAGATGTTCGTCGCTTTGGATAAAAGCGTCTGCTAAATAAAATTGTAGAATTGTAGGTATTCTGATTTTGGCCCACTGCTCATCAGCAAAGTGCTCTAATTTGTCCAGGACAGATTTGTTTGTTTTTTAAAAATTATTCTTTTCAACCACAATTCAAAAGCAATGTCGTATTTCGCTAAATTGTAATTTAACAAATTTTAATTTATTATTACTTTTTTCAGTTTCCAGTTATTTGAGCGACTATTGGGAATTTTGCCTTTTCTTTAATGGGAATAAATTTGAGGATGACTGTAGGAGTTCACCAAACCTGTTCATATGGTGCAATAAATTTGTCTGTGGTATCATGTTTTATTTCTGCCGTGGCAGTGCAATGGTGGTTTTTCAGTATTGATTTATGTATTTTTTAGGCCTGTTGTGCAATCTGAAACAGTTTCTAATTTTATTTATTCAGGTTCCCGTCTTTGCCTTTTACCACTTCAAGGTTTCTCTGTTTTTTCTCTTTTTTTTTTAGAGCTGGTAAACCACCGAGTGCTTCTAAATTTTGGTGTAAGATAAATTAAAAATATCAACTACTTGATGCTGATTGTCGCCAACTGACGCCTTTACACAAAGTAAATGTTACTTTAACCAATACAGTCTAGTTACTTAAATATAAGATTAACTTTAAGTTCAAATGTTGATGACTTTAACTGCAACATCAGTGTTAGATAACATTTACACCCATTTAAAACAGCTGCAGAAATTTAAAACACATTTAGAATGGACGAATCCTGACAGTTCACAGTCACAGAGATCAAAACCTGTAAAAGTATGGAAAATTGTACCGTGAAACTACTTCACCGCTAAATAACTAATAATAATCTGACCACATCTGTTAACTGTAGCACACTAAACACTGATAATTATGTTGCTAGACTGATCGTAGCTACGGCAACTTACAATATAACAAACTCCACATTGTTACTAAAAGTTATATTTTACATATATAACTCCACTTGTAAGACATGATAATGTTACATGTGGTGCATTAAATGAATTATCAGTAATAATTAATGCTGTCATGTACACTGACAACTAAGAGAAAGGTCCGTCAGCAGTATGTTAGCTCGCTGACGCCATCTAGAGACATGGAGGTACAGCTACACGAATAAAACATTACATAGACGCTGATGAAAGCCAGAAAATAACCCTAGGCTATTTAGGGTC